AATATCTTGGACCACGCAGCCTAACCTTTATAGCTTCTGTCATGCAGCTAACAGACACTTAAAAACCAACTGGCCCAATCCCAACTTCCATCCTAAACCCTCACAGACTTAGTTGAAGTCACCTGGTGAGTGCGAGAGGCTGCAAGGGCACAAAATGGTGTAATGGAACGGCACTTTGCAACATAGCACGTTACCTTGGTGACGGCAAAACACGTTACGTACAATTGTGGGTTCAGTACTTGACTTTCTTTGTTCGTTAACTTTTTTTGTAACACCTCCGGGCTTCGCCGAGTAACGTCACAACGCTATGAACTGTGTAGTTCCCCCAGTCGAAGTCTGATGCAGTTTTACAGAAAGGGTGTACCTGATGATTTGGCAGCAATAAGAGATTGGGATTGGGTCATCCCCTCCTGTTGTCACCTGACTGACCTCAGCCCCCCTTCCTGCTGCAGGACCTGCTGTCCATGCGAGGTGAGATGAGCGGCCAGGTGAACGTGGAGGTGGACGCCGGTCCTCAGGTTGACCTCAGTAAGGTCATGGAGGAAATCAGAGAACACTACGAGGGCATCGCCGCCAAGAACCGCAAAGAGCTGGAGAGCTGGTACCAGACCAAGGTGAGAGAGAAAACACCGTAAAGAAGTACATCTATAAACCTGTATGTTTACCTTTATGCATCTTGGTGACGTCCTCTTCTTCTTCTCTAAGTCGGAGGAGATCATGCAGGAGGTGGCGACCACAGAGATGACGCTGAAAACGACGTCCTCTGAGGTGAAGGAGGTGAAGAGTCAGCTTCAGGCTCTGGAGATCGAGCTCCAAGCGCAGCTCAGCATGGTGAGGCCACAGCGCCACCTTATGCTAACTTTACAACAAAGTTAGCATGTAGTGGCCCTTGATCAAGGCGTGATCTTTTTAAAAGTTTGTTCTGTTTTAATGGCACCAATAGTTAAACATAATATATATTGTTTTGAAGCTGTAGCCACTTGATACTTTGCGTAGAGATCAACATCTCTCCTACAAGAGAGATCAGGGAACAAGTAACATTTACAGGCAGTTTGGGAGCTTTAACATTTGAGCTCGATGTGAAGCCACATTTCTGATTTATAAGTGCCAGCAGCCTGATTGAAAGTTCTGAAAACAATAGTCAGAGACGCAGTTGGACGTAGAGGACTATGTACTTGTTTTAACTGCATTTAACTCTCAAGTCTGTAAAAAAGCATGAAAGGCCGACGAACACGAGTCAGCGCACAGGAGTGGAACCAGGGGATACAAAACTGTATCTGAACACAAATTACATTAAAGTGTTGATTAGAAAGAATGATGTTATAGAGTAAGGTTAGCAGGCCAAGAATAGAGAAGCAAATACCTCATCCTTGTCATGCTATGAGGTACCCGTACAGACAGTAACGAGTCCCAGGTGTCGCTGACAGACTATGATGACTCCCGGGTGTCCCCGTAAAGACCATTATGACTCTCACAAATCCCTTTACAGACGATGACGAGTCCCAGGTCCCAGATAGACAATGTACCTGTAGAGACATTAACGAGTCCCAGGTGTCGCTGACAGACAATGAGGTACCCGTAAAGACAATAACGAGTCCCAGGTGTCGCTGACAGACTATGAGGTACCCGTAAAGACAATAACGAGTCCCAGGTGTCGCTGACAGACAATGAGGTACCCGTAAAGACAATAACGAGTCCCAGGTGTCGCTGACAGACAATGAGGTACCCGTAAAGACAATAACGAGTCCCAGGTGTCGCTGACAGACTATGAGGTACCCGTAAAGACAATAACGAGTCCCAGGTGTCGCTGACAGACTATGAGGTACCCGTAAAGACAATAACGAGTCCCAGGTGTCGCTGACAGACTATGAGGTACCCGTAAAGACAATAACGAGTCCCAGGTGTCGCTGACAGACTATGAGGTACCCGTAAAGACAATAACGAGTCCCAGGTGTCGCTGACAGACTATGAGGTACCCGTAAAGACAATAACGAGTCCCAGGTGTCGCTGACAGACAATGAGGTACCTGTAAAGACAATAACGAGTCCCAGGTGTCGCTGACAGACTATGAGGTACCCGTAAAGACAATAACGAGTCCCAGGTGTCGCTGACAGACAATGAGGTACCTGTAAAGACAATAACGAGTCCCAGGTGTCGCTGACAGACTATGAGGTACCCGTAAAGACAATAACGAGTCCCAGGTGTCGCTGACAGACTATGAGGTACCCGTAAAGACAATAACGAGTCTCAGGTGTCGCTGACAGACTATGATGACACCCAGGTGTCCCCATCTCCCAGGGGTCCCTGACAGACAATGACGTATCTATAGAGACAAGGACTCCCCCCCAGGTGTCCCTGTATAGACTATGATGTACCCATAGAGACAATGACAAGTGCCAGGCGTCCCTGTAGACTCTCACGGGTCCCTTTACAGACGACGACGAGTCCCAGGTGTCCCAGACAGAAAATGTCTCCCAGCTGTCTCTGCACAGACGTTGACTAACAGGTGTCCCCGTCCAGACTTAGTTTTGTTAAGCATCTCAATATGTATTACTGCATACACCCGGTCGTCCAGTGGTCCATTGTCTGTCTTCTAACTCTGTCTCCCTGTAGAAAGGGTCTCTTGAAGCCCAACTGGGCGAAGTCCAGAGCCGCTACGGTATGCAGTTGAACGGATACCAGATGCAGGTGAGCATTTCAGACTGCCGGCATCACGTTAAAGTCTGTTAGCTGCACTTAGCGTCCGCTCTGACACAGTCTACCTGTGTGACCGTGTGCAGGTGGGCAGTATGGAGGAACAGCTGATGCAGCTCAGGGCCGACCTGGAGAGACAGGGACAAGAGTACCAGATGCTGCTGGACATCAAGACCAGACTAGAGATGGAGATCGCTCAGTACAGGAAGCTGCTGGACGGAGAGGGCGTCGGGTAAGAGGAGATCAGAGAGTCAATTCACAATCTCAAATTAAAGTTTTATCATCAGTCATTGCCTATACCAAACATTAAAACCAGAGTAATTAAATAACATCAGAGCTCTCACTTCCCCATGTCTCTCTCTCTCTCAGATCTTTACTCTCCTCCTCTGATCACACCGTCTCCACCACCACCAAAAAAGCCATCATAAAAGTCTACAACGAAGAGGTCAAGGAAAAGGACTTCAAGCTGGAGGAAGCCACCTGAGACCAATCCCACATCCATCTGATCCGGAGGGGAGGAGCCTGATCTCAACCTATAACAGTGTTTCCCCTCTTCATCAAGAATCTGCCTTCATCTGTCACCTTTCGCTCGTTTTCTGCTGTAACTAAAACCCCGATCAGTGAAGACTGGATTTGTGAGGGGAAATGTAACCTTCCTTGATAGTCTGGTTTGGGGGGAACTTCACTGGTGTGGCGACAAACCTGTTGTCTGTTGCTTCAAGGAATAAAACTCAAAAAACCTCAATGAAAAGTGTCGAATGTTTCTGAAGAAAGGGCTTGATATAGAATTCAACATGAAGGTTAATTTCAAACCTTGCAAACCGCAGTTTTACAGAAGGTCCAACTTTCCATGTTTCCAAAGCTTTCAACCACATCTCACGGTCTTCTCAGCCGACCTGCTGAGGAAGGCCTCAACATGCGGCTGAAAGCTCCAGAAACGTATTGAGGTTTTTTTCTTGTCAAACTGGATGCATAAGTTGTAAAGTAGGTTCACTTAAGAGCTCCCCCCCCCCCAGAGCTTTCAACTCACAGCCTTCATCGATGGATCAGTTGCTGTGTCGTAACAAAAGACGGTCGTACAGGTTTGTACGTCTGAAGGGAATGTTGTATAGGCGATTGTGTCAAACTACTCAAGTCTCACAATTTTGGTACTAATTTGCATTCAATGACACATTTTCACAGCAGCAAATTTATCGACAGACAAGAATACAATAAAATACTGACTTTAACGCAGATATCGGTGAAGGCCAGTGATGAACCTACAGTCATCAGCTGAATCTGCAGCTTTACATCAAATGTTATTCTCTCTGTTAATAAGAGATGCACGGATCCGACTTTTTCAGACCCAATATCAGATACCCGGGCTTCAGGTACCGGACGACGCAGAGTACGGATCCCATACCAGTGTAAAATGAATAAGCTGTATGATGGCTTCCTCGCTGTGAGAACGACACTCAAAGCTTCTTTGGCTGCTTAAATTGGTTAATAAAAGTGTTACATTTTGCTGCCACACCTCCAAACACTGGCGCTGCAGATACTGCAGGTAGAAGCCACCGTGAAAGACCTCCAAACTGCTGACCCCTTGTTTTTAGCTCCCTCCATGCTATGTTGGCGCTCCTAGCAGAATGTTTGGGTCTACCGACGCATCATGTAGACCGCGTGTAATTGAATAGATCGGCGTCACAATACCCAATCACATATTTTAGTCCGTATCGCTCCGGATATCTGTAGCTGGTGCATCCCTACTTGCTCCGCCCTCAGACTGAGCTAGTCGGTTTCACTATTTTCTTATATTTTATAGATTCAAATCATTTTTTTAAAAAGTAACTCTGCACTCGTTGCTTCAGGCACCTGAGCGTCAAAGCTCTGAGGTTTGGATTTGTGCCTCACTTGTTTGTAGGTTTGGACAAAAGCATCTGTCAAAAGAATAAACGTGAATAATTAAATAATCACACCCAGCGTGTCCGACTGCTGAGTTGGCCTGCTCAGTTAGGGACGAAGGTCTCGGGTTGGATTTTGTTTCAAAGTTGGCGGCAACACCCGGGTTTAGTTGGGTCGGGTCTTAAAGTCGTGGGCTGCGTCCTCGGATCGGCCAGGAAACAAGAGGATTCTACAAAAAAAAAAAAGCTGAGTGTTAGTTAAACTGTCTCACTTTACAAATAATATGTTATTTCTTTGGTTCGTACCTTGAACGGTGACGCTGCATCATCACTTCCTGTCACATTCACAACAACAGTACACAGATTTTAATAAATACACCACCTTTCAGCGCCGGTCTAAAAACAAACCCGAGACAGAGCCGGACGTGTCATTAGTTTCTTTAATAATTCATTTTCCAGTACAAGATGCTGCATCACTTTTTCACTTCTGTTTTTTTCCCCCATTTTCTCTTTATTTTTTAAAAGTAATGACATAATCAATAGATTTGTACACAGTGAGCGATCTGGACGGGGGGATAGGGGAGGTTCCTTTGTGCTGATGAGTTTGGTCCTTTATCTTGTGACGATACTGGAATGATTTTAAAGGAATGTCATCAGCAGATTATCATCAACAACAAAACAATACTGGTCAATACAAAATATAAAAATTATATCAGATTTGTTTTAACTATACAGAAAGAGCGTACACCTGCTAGTACCCACACCTGTAAGGAAAATACTAGTAAACTGGCAGCAAGTACTCAAAAATAAGTACCCACACACGGTTGGCAAAAGTACTTTTAACTGCTGTCGACACGCTGAGTAATGGAACCACAGCCCTGTTCACCGAACGCACCGAGTTTAATCTTCTGAAGACAAACAGCCGTTTCCCAAAAGCATCTGAACACGCCGTCTCATGAAGAAACCATCGCATGAGATTCAGAAGCTGCACGTTTAATTCTGTCCTTTAACCACGAACGCTGGCGCCGTGGCCTCGTGTTGGGTGTAACACGAGGGATGACGGTTTATTTGGCAACGTAACAAACTTTATTTAGAACCTAGTATGTGAATCTCCTTTGGCTTTAAGAGTTTACCACTTTTACTTTTTACTCTCGGACGTGTGCGTTTTTTGACCGTTGACACAAATAATGACAACTCCTACAACTGATGACACACATTCATCAGTATTTTATGAACCATAACTGCTCGTTGTTGTTGCTTTTTGTTCTAGTTTAAGTTCTTCTTCTGGTGTGGATCACCATTAGAGCAAGACAGATAAATGGGCTTGTGCGTTTATGTTGGCTGATATGTTAAAACTAGCTTTGAGCTTAGAAACTGTGCAGCTTTTCCCGGGTTTTTCCCAGTAAAGCGTTACGCTCAGTATGTATCTGATGTCTATTTGTTGTACCCTCTGTACGCTGCATCTATGTCTTTCTGCAAGACCAACTGCCCCCCAGGGACAAAGCATCTGGGTCACAATTCTTTAAAGAAAAGAAACAAATCCAAGGGATCTGTGTCAAGATTGATTATTTCCATCATGTATTTATGTAATACATCGCCGTTGGACTTCTTAAACTCCACCTGGAGGGTCGACCTGATTTACGTGTAGCTGAGAAAACAAGGACGGGTTGTGATCAGACCTGTGGCGGATCTGAAGTTTGTTAAACGAAGTCCGGATTTTATCCAGATAAGACCGAACTTTAAGCTTGAAGTATAAAAAGTATAAAACATTCCTGACGTCTACACTGTGGGATTTATGTATTCCTTCAGGTACATTCGCCACTTTACTCTGAAGTGTCCCCGTCGCCACAGACATGGTGAACACGTACTTGCTCTGAAGTACTGCTTCAGGAAACGCCGGAGCGTTTAGTAAACGGGGCTCTGGTTCATCAGCTGCTGGTCTGTTTCAGTAAAAAACTAAATGAAGTACTCAAACTTTGTTACTGAAGTATTTGTGCTTGTGTATCAGTAAGTACTCCAAAATAAGTACTGGGACTCGAGACAGCTCAGACAGACCAGTTTGAAGATTATCTACAAGCCCCTCGGTATCACAGCCACCCACACACACAGTACATGTACACACAGACACTTGCATAAGAGCAAATCAGTCAGAGTCCACCCGGCCCACAGATATAATGCAAAAGAGCACAAAAGGTATGAAAATGTAAGAAAAAATTCATAAGGAAAAAAATTTATATATAGTATTTATAAAAAAGAGGAATAATACTTTGTTTTTCCGCGAGGTTAAAGGGTATGGAGTTTATTTTAGCTACTGTCACTGCCCACACTGCTGCTGCTGCTGCTGCTGCTGCTGCTGCTGCTGCTCGCCGTGTCCACTCGCTCCCGCTTGTGGATCTGCTCGTGTGCTTTGAGGTGACCCGACTGGCTGAAAGTCTTGGCGCAGTGGGGGCAGGCGTACGGCCGCTCCCCCGTGTGGATCTGCTGGTGAGCCTTCAGGTGGCCGAGGCGTCCGAAGCTCTTCCCGCACTGCGTGCAGCCGAACGGCCGCTCGCCCGAGTGGATCTTCTCGTGGGTTTTTAACACGCCCGAGTTGCTGAAAGTCTTCCCGCACTGCGAGCAGGTGAAGGGCTTCTCGCCTGTGTGGATCTGCACGTGGTTGCGGTAGCTGGTCTCCTTGCTGAAGCTCTTGCCGCAGTGCTGGCAACAGAACGGCCTCTCGCCCGTGTGGCTCAGCTGGTGAGCCTTCAGCTCCTTCGACTGGCCGAAGCTCTTCCCGCAGGTGAGGCAGATGAACGGACGCTCGCCGGTGTGCAGCCGCTGGTGCGATCGCAGGTCGTCGGCCTTGGTGAAGCCCTTCGGACAGTGAGCGCACACGTACGGCTTCTGGCCCGTGTGGATGAGCTGGTGTCGTTTGAGGTTTCCCGCCTGGCCGAAGCTCTTGCCGCACTGCGAGCAGGTGTAGGGCCGCTCCCCGGTGTGGATGCGCTGGTGGGTTTTCAGGTTTCCCAGCGTGCTGAAGTTCTTCCCGCACTGCGTGCAGGAGAAGGGTTTCTCCCCCTGCATGTTACGGGGTTTCCTCACAGTCGGGCTTTGGGTTTTGGTCGTGATGACCAGGCTACCGCCTCCTCCCTGCCCGGTCATTGCCGCCGCCATGTCGGCCCCCGTCTTCCCGTGCTCGGCCGGCTGCAGCTCGTACAGCGCCCCCCCTGCAAACTCAGGGTCCAGTTTGCCCATGCCGTCCATCAGCAGGGAGTCGGGTCGCAGCTTGTTGAGCTCGGTGCGGAGCTCGGCCATGTGGATGGACTCCAGGCCGTTGTGCGGCAGGTGGGTGGACATGGCGCCCGACTCTGTGTAGTAACACTGCAGGTCCACGTGGTGGTCTGACTTTATGTACTCCAGAGTGTCCGTCACCTGCAACACAGAGAAAGAGCACGTTTCCATACTCAGTCCTCCAGACAGAACACATCTAGAAGAAGAAGAAACACTTTGTGCTCTCAGTAAAGTCACGAAGACGAACTCCTTCCACACTTACGAGTTTATTTTTATAATTTTCCTGCAACGCGAGTACTTTTACTTTGGTATGGTCTGAATGCAGGACTTTTACTTACTTTAAAGTATCAACTATTCACACAAATTGCATCATCGACCCAAACAAACCCACGTTGCACGTTACTGCACACGCGTGACTTTGGTTGATGCTGGACGCTGTTTGCCGTGAGTTTATAATCGTAACCAAAGCCGGTTACCAAGGTCATTAAAATGTCTAGAGTAATAACTGTCGGTTGGTTTGCCGTTAAACCGGTAATCGTTTCAGCCCTGGTGTGGTCGAACAGAAAGGGAATCGTCTACTGACAAACAAACTCCCAAGAACATCCCAACAGGGCTGAACGTGACGATTATTTTTCAAGTCGATTAATCAAACCACTAACTGTGTATTCTAAAGAAATGTTATTATCCAAAATAAATATCAAAAACAATCCAGTCATCCTGATGAAGCACATTAGAATAATAGCAGCAGATCTTGAATCCACGTCACTGATGAGATGTGATAATAACAATAACAGACAATAACTTACAACTTCAAATGTTTCTGACGTGGATTTATTTCATTATTGAGTAATGCAGTGTGATAATAAAATCTATTTCTGCAGCAGTGTGGCGCAAAGAAAACAACTGAAACGATTCACACATTCATACGTGGCCGTTAAATAAAGAGAAAATATGAAACGTTATGAAAAATATTTTATCATCGTAGTTTTGAATGTTCTACCTCAGATGTGTTAAGTGATGCACTTTGTCGAAGAGTCCCACGAAGTAAAAATGCCAGATATGCCACGATTCAATTAAACACCAGCAGGCGTGTGTTGTTCTTTAAATGACGTACGCCCTTTATGAAATGTGGAATGAGATACGTGTCTGATCCTCCACAAACACCCGGAGCTGCTGACCGTGCGAACCAAGCTGAACGCCGCCTGATCCCCCCCGGACCGCCAGGAAGGGTTCCGTTCACATCCTGTTTAGAGAAGCTAAAAGAAGTCTGAGCTGGGAGAGTCAGTTCAGCTGTAAGCAGGGTGTTTGTTTAAAAGGATTTGCAGGCGTCAGTTAATGAGCTCAGCAGGATCAGACACCCGACAGCACAGACGGTCATAAATGCATAACGCTGAACGGACCTTTACGGCCGCATGGATCCTCAAAGTATAATCTGGCTTTTAACGGCGCCCTTTGAAAACATCTTCTCTCCGTTTTAACCGATCCCGTTCTCTCTGAGGTTTGTTATTAGCCGTGTTTCCATCAACTATATTGGGGCGAATGAACCAGGCTCTGCAATGTGTGCTTTCGTCAGAAGTTAATGTTACGCACGGCTGTGATCAACAAGAAGTAGAGGTTGCGAACCAGAAACAAAGCGTGGACATGAGGACCCTGGAGGGAAAGCAGCTTGTTTTTTTGCTTAAGAAACTTTTGTTTCTTTTATCTTTAAATTGCATTGCAGGTTTTCTTATTGTGAAAATAAACCTTTCTCAAAGTATTTTCATTTGTTTTTTTAACATTTCTTGTTGCAAGCCATTTTCAGAACATATTTAACAAATGCTTTAAAAACAAAAGTGAAGGAGACACGTCCCCAGTGTCCACAGCGTTAATGACACCTATGAAATTAATACAATATTTGTGCACTAAGAACTCTGAAGGGGTGAAATCAAAAATACAAACACATTGTGCACTATGAGTTGCACCTTGGCTAGAAAAGGTAAAGTAATAAAATACCAGTTGCTTCAGTGATTATTCATCCTGTCCTGTTTTGTAAAGCATCTAAAGGCTGCTTGAAATACAGTATTATATAGTATTGGCTGGAAAGCAGCGGGGATAAGGATTTATTTTTCTCTCGTTCTCGTGATCGGCGCATCCGAGTTATGTAAGTTTAAAGTTTCCATTCACATAACATTAGCCCACAACAGAGGCCAAACGCCGACACACAGACACCGTCCTCGTCTTCACACACCTGTCTCTCCGTTGCTGCTGTGACATTAACTGACCAGGAACCTGCAGCGGGTCTTCGGGCTCCGCTGTTCCATTAGCGCTCGCCACAGAGTGACTGGTGCCGAATCTGCCTGCCTGCCGAGAATTGCACGCACCTCGCAGGTGTTAACGGTAATCTATGCTGAGAAAAGAGGTGGATGCAAATCTCAGCAGGTAGCCTACAAAATTTGATCTGCCGAATTACGCGTCCACCTCTTTAGGTCCTCGTCAGACACTTTGCTGTGCTCATTGATCAAACGGCGTTTTCACCACATATATTTACTGAATGTCAAGGAATGGTACTTCTACTGAGTGTATTAAAATATTCTAAACGTTCATAAAATATATACTTTGAATCATTTATCACCATTGATTAAGAATGACAGAGCCGGATGTCAGAGCTCGCGCACGGCGAACACGCCACAGTCCAGAGCGTGAAGCTGAACGCTGACATAAACAGGAACGTTACCTGTGCTGCCGTGTAACATCAGAGTCACACCAAACGGAGTAAATTATGAAGTCTCACACACACAAAGTGTTTATTTAATTTAATCCTACGAAAGGACAAGAAAAAATTTAAGACCTTGGTAATGAAATTTAAGACTTTAATACTTTTAAGAGCCCGCGGGTACCCTGTGTGAAGTCTTCATGTTACGCCGTACGAGAACCACAGACAATATTATTTATCAAACCGGGTCGGACTGGATGGATTTAGCGCGAGGAGGAAACACGTCCGGTTTTCAAAATAAGGCGTCTGTACAGGATGGAAATAAGGATAACTGGATTATATTCACAGATAGGGATGTGACAATATATCGTTGTGCATTTTTCCATGATACTGTATCGATATTGCAGCCCATCATATTGTTACATAATATTAACAAAAAATAGCGCTTCGATGGTTAGCTCAATGCTAACGTATAATGGGAATCTCCATTAACGTGCTAACTGACATTAGCATCGTAATAATACAATCTTAACATAAACTTCACATGCTGAACATCCTGAGTGACAGACTGTGCAAATACTTAAAGCGCATGTTTCCTGAGCTCTGTGTGAAATGAAATAGCTTCACTGTCTTGATCTGCTGCTTCTGCACTCCACACAGACCAGCTACAGCAACCCCAAAGGGTCAAAACTCAAAATACAGCCATCAGTAGGAAGAGAAAGGGCAGCACAACGCTGTGTCACTGAACAGTTATAATATTTAAAGAGCATAAAAGTGCATTTATGGAAACACTTTGGGATCCGTTTCCTTCACGTCAAGACAAACTGAGTCTGTTTTCATTTATTAAGCAGCTGTTTTTAGTCTTTCTGGAGGTTACAGAGAACGTTTCAGCGGGCAGAGGCCCACAGTGTGTTTCTGATTTAGAAGTTCAGCAGCTGGCCGTCATGTGTTTAATCAGAGGTTAACAGGTTAACAGGTTTTGTGTGAGTGCCTGATCCACAGTAGCACCCCGCATCTAACGATGGATCAGCTGATGTTCACTCTGGCTGTTAACAGACTGATGGTTTACAGGGCCGTTCACGTAGCGTCGAGCCGCAACAGATATTAAAACATGTCTTCTTGCTCAGGCCACAGTCACACTACTACGAGTTTCAAAACAATCGCCAGTGTTTCAGCTGCGTATCAGAACAGATCTCTGTCTGTTTTAAAACGACCGAGAACGCACGTCATATGACCGTTTATGTGCACTGAGCACGTGCGTGCCGGTGTAAACAGGAAGCAGGAACCCCGGAGTTTAAAACCAAAACGGGATCGGCGGCGTTTTCAAACTTCAACGTTTTAGTCTGGACGGGAGGTTCAAACGTAGCAGAAGGTGAGTTTTAAAACCAAACCGTGGGAGTGTGGACGGAGCCTCAGACCTCAGTCTGACCCCCTGGCTCCCTGTTCTGGACCGACGTGTGCCCTTTAACTGTTCTGAAGACCCATCCGGATCTACCTGCGACCCTCTTTACCTGGGAGATGTAGTCAAACACGGAGCTGGGCTCGTAGTGCGACTTGTAGTCCAGCTCTGGGACGTCGGCGTGGTGGAAGTGGCCCAGGTGGTGGCTGCCGTGATGCTCCGACTTGATGTAGTCGAGGCCGCTGATCTCCATCTTGATCTGGTCCTGCCCCAGCTCGGCGGTCGACAGCGGCTGGATCTCGGACAGGTCCACGGTCCGGATGGGCTCCAGGTCTCCGTCCTCCGGCTCGCTCTTCACACACGGCAGCATCACCAGCGGCTCTGCGATCTCCGCCGCCAGCGAGCTGAGCGTGGCCGTGGGACAGTCGGAGGAGAGGAGGGCCAAAGACTGGGCCGAGGTGCCGTGCCCCGCGCCGCAGTCCACCTGCAGGGAGGGGTCCAGAGGCGGGGGCGGGGAGCCGCACTCGGAGGGTAGGCCGAGGCTCAAACACTCAGTCTCTAAGTCTGTCATGGTGAGGGGCGGAGCTAACCCTCCTCGCCTCACTCTGGTTCAGCACCTTTAGTATCACTGAGGTTATAAAAAGGTCCACCTCCTTCCTCCTCCTCCTCCTCCTCCTCCCTGAGTCCTCCCTCCCTCCTCTGAAGAAATCGACCCGTCCTGAGAGGGGGGGAGCCGGCAGGTAAGGGACGCGTCCCTGAGCGTCTCTTCTGGAAAACCAACAAGCGAGATGTCCTGCGGGCGTCACCACGCACACCTGACTGGGACCAGCCTGTGGAGACAGATCAAACATGTTTTCTTAAGTCTGTAGAATCAATCAGACTTTATTTGTGAAACACCTTTCCTGCAAAACAACAACACAAGCTGCCGGAACACGGTGTTCAAGTTCAAGCTTTAAGAGCCTGCACTGCGACGTGACTGGAAGCTAAGAAAACACAATGAGAACTACAAATACCAGTAAAAATATAAGACATGAAAGAAGAGAGATATTAAGATCAATAAAAAAATTACTGGAGGAAAACGCTAAACTGAAAGATTGGGTCTTAAGATTTATTTTTAAATAACTTTAAAGTTTGAACTCAGCTCCAGACGACCAGATACACTTTAAACCACCGGGGTCAGCAGAAGGCCAGGGCGCCACATTTAATATAACACGGCTCAACTGCCAAACACATTTTTTATTGGCCAAATTAATAACTTGCCTTTTTATGTCATACACATTTGTTTCAATACCTTTAATTGAGATAAAAAGGTATTCTGCCAAAAACAAACTTTGGAGATAAAGTGCAACATGTAGACAAACATACAGTTGATGTAAATAAATGTAGAAATACATAAATTATAATAATAATGGAAAGGATTACGATAAGGGCTGAAGTTACGTTAATAATTAACATTCGGCTGTTTTCGCGGCCGTTTCCTTCAACAGCTCCTCGTCAAAGCGATGTGGGCAAAAATGTTCTCACCATAAAAAGTTTCATATGTTTCGATAGATAATTCTTATGATTAGAATCAAATTGTTATTTCTTTTGAGTTTAAAGGCTGATTTTTGTTCCTGAGTGAAAGTTGAAGAAACCTGATGGTTAATTGTGGTTTAAACTCGTCTTTATGGTCAAACACTTGATGCCAAAGGTAGAACATTCAAAACTATTATGATAAAAATATGCGTAACATTTAGTAAAATCTTTTTTCAGTCCTTTTCCCCCCTCAACAAAATAAGCATCTCAATAAAAAAAATAATAAAATCCTAATACGTGAATGATTCAGGTGAATAATACTGAATGTTTATTGAACATTTGTTATATCGTTATTGAAAAAAATTATAATGCGATAATTACTGTTATTGTTTTATTGTCCCGCCCTGGTTGGAGATCTAATTCAGGCGGACGTTTCACAGTTTGGATCGACTCAAAATCACCAAAGATGACGATGCAGTTTGTCCAACGCTGCTGTTACTGTAGGAGGAGTTAGGGACCGTCTGAAAAGGTCAACATGATCCATTTCAATCATCAGTAACGGTGTTGTTTTTCAAAATAAAAATCTCAAACCACTGGCGGTATAGAAACCGCCCTCGGTAACCTCCGGGGGCCTCATTTATAAAACTGTGCGTATAATCCTCACTAAAAGTGCACGTGTGCCCAAAAGCCAAAAATGGCGTACAGCAAAAAAATATTCAGACTCATAAAACCGTGCCTACGCACATGTAAATAACGTTCTCTTTATAAATCACAATCAATGCCATTTTCAAAGAGTCAGTGGAGCAAACACGAGTGCATAGTTTAAAACTGCCTATTGTTATCAGATGTTCGTTGCCTTTTCGAGCCAAACGCTGCGCCAGCGTGTGGATGTGATGCGCCGCTTGTAAAAACACGTCATTTACAACAAGTTGTATTTCTTTTAACTCATCAGCAGCCTCGTTAAGTGAGTAGACCGTTTGTGTAAATAACTGTTTAAACACAAGGGTGACGTCTTTTGTTTTCTTTTCAAACAGGGGAGTCCAGATTAGTACGTGGGTCATCCCGCCTGTGTGTCGACCTCCAGCCAGCGACGTCAATATTCAGGAGGGAGGCCCCTTCCTGCAGATCGGTTACAAAAGGGTGGAGCTCCGGTGCCCCAGTTTTTTACCCACCAAACAACTTCAGCTTCACCTAAAGGAACGTCAGTGTCTCAATGAGTTAAATTTCGTTTTGTAGCTTTTCCATCGGAATTAGCCTCCTTTTCTTTCTGAATTAGCCTCCTTTTCTTTCTGAATTAGCCTCCTTTTCTTTCTGAATTAGCCTCCTTTTCTTTCTGAATTAGCCTCCTTTTCTTTCTGCAGTCAGGACGTATTAATATTAATGAGGGCCGTTTCACTGAACATTTACAGGACAGGAAGCTCGCTCTCACGCGCCACATTTAAAGTTGATTGTGATTTATAAAGGGAACTTGCTTACAGGTGTGCGTACGCACGGTTTTTGTAAGTGAATATTTTTTGCCATACGCCATATGCTTTTGGGCGCACGCACGTACACTTTTAGTGAGGATTCCACGCACAGCACTCTGTCAGCCAGCAGGGGGCGACTCCAGCGGCTGCAGAAAGAAGTGTGATTGTACAGAAGTCTATGAGAAAATGTTTCTACTTGTCAGCTGATTTATTCCCTCAGTAAACTCTTTCCTGATGAGTTTATGGTCTCAGTCGCTAGTTTCAAGTCTTCTTCAACACAGCATGATGTTCATTTAGTAAATTATGGTCCCGTTTAGAGGGGGGGCTTCAGGGCGGGGCTACAAGCTGATTGACAGGTCTCTAAACATCTGATATAGGCAGGAGAGAGCGCAGGTCATGTGTGCGTTTGTTAGCATGTTCTGTTGTAAAAGTAAATTGTTTTGTTTACGGTTACCTTTTAATTTTGTATAGTTTGAACTGATTATATATTTTTTTTATATCCAGGATGTATTTATTTAACGGTTAAACATGTCAACAAAGTAACATAACTTATAAAGTCTTTGGTTTTGTTGTAACACTGATTAATTTACATCTTTTGGAGGAGGGACAGTAAAAACTGTCTTGGGGCCAGTTGCAAAACGTTTAATGTTGGGCCCTGTAAATATATTAAAGGCATTTTAAAGTGTTGCATGTGGCGAGGAGCACTGGGTGACTTGTTCAGTACTCCAGGAAACCAGGACTCGACTCCACTCAATAAAAATGAGACCCCCACCCTGGAGCCGCTGCATCTGGTCTCTGGCAGGCTTGACAGGTAACAGTTTCCTGTAGTTTTACAGTGTTCGGGCTCACACCTGAGGAACCGCACAGGTGAGCACCGCAGACCTGCTCTGACCCCCCGCGTGTCCGTGGGCACAAATAACTAACGTTACTGCCACCGCTACACGCGCACGCGCACAGAAAAGTTTGGAGGAGGCTGGTATGAGCTCAGGTTACCGTGAGAGTACTAAAGCCAGCACTTTCCCCCCCAAACACAGACAGGCCGCAGCCTCCCGCCAGCTCAACGCAAACTTCTTACCTGTGTCCTCAAACACGCAGGTAGCCGTTAGAACTCGCCACGCAGCCTGCGCACAATCTGGCGGTGATTTGTGTCTCAGGATGTCTCCGTGCGCTCCTCACTAACACCGCATCTCCCGTTTGTGCGAGCGAAGTTTCAAGTTTCGTGGATTCTTGCTCCGAGAGTCGAAACTCTGCGTGACTGAGCCAATAAAATGCGTTTCAGCCCGCGTTAGAGCCGCGATACAAAGACGGGGCAAGATGCCATGTACAGCTAGCTAGCACCGCTAGCCAGCAGTGGCCATCTTGTTTATCACACTAACGTCGTTTGCAGCCCGCTAAGCTAACTAGCCGGGCTAGCTGGTGTTAGCACGGGGGGGAGAAAGTGAGAGTGAAGCGGGGAGAGGAGGCAGGCGGGGGGGGCGGGGGGGAGCCGCGGTGCTCCGGCTGTCCGGGCGCAGCGGGGAGCGGCGGGAGGCCGCAGCACCAAAGAAACCAACTGTGTCAAATTATGAAATGTGGAATCTGTCAGACAGAAGAAGCAGCAGGCAGGAAACCGAGCGGCGAGAAGAAAAGGAGCTCACCGGAGCCGAGCAGGCGGGTAACAACGGCGGGGAGCGGTACGTTACCTGCGGGTGGTCCGGTTCATGGCTGTCCGTCCGCCTCGGATCACTTGTAGCTAAACTCCGCCGGACCCGCCACGTCCACCTCGGCAGAAGAACCCGCCGCCTCTCCTCCTCTCCTCCCCTCTATCACTGACTAATTCCGCTCCCTCCTTCCTTCCCTGCTTTCCTCCCTCCTTCCTTCCTGCCTGCCCACTGGCCGCTCGTGCACACACACACCCGCTCGGGCGGGTATGTCGGTAACTACGGCAACGGTAGTAGGTGGGTATAGTTCTCAGGGGCGCGCGCAGCACCGATTCACCTCAGTTCCACGAGCGGGTACGCGCGCGACACATTGTTACAGCATCACCACCTCGCGCTCGTTGTGTTGTGTGTGCGTGCCCCCCCTCCCCCCTCCTCCCTCCTCCCCCCTCCCCCGGGTGTTTTTTTTAGCTCCACGCGCCCGGTGTAGTAAGATAAATGAATGAATAAGCGAGGAGCACGCGCCCCGCTGATCCGGGTCAAGTGGCGATTCGCTGACGTCCCTCCAGGACCGTTAACGTGCTTATTAAATAATGATGCAGCCAGCCGAGATTCTGATGAACTTATTGATCTGCGCCTCTTCAGAAATGCCAAATTACTGATGAATCCAGGTTCTCAAATATGATAGAATACTTTTAATTTTGGTAAAATCAATATTTTGGGGGTTCATCCTGCTGCTGGGACAAAACGACACATTTCATGACATTTTCTGATGTTTTATAAACCAATCAATCAATAGAAGACAGATTAATCTGAAGTGAACATAATTGTTTACTGTGTGAAGTGTCATCAGTAGTCACCCATGATTACTTTGAAGGAAACCCCCTCTGTCCCAAAAAGATCAGATTATATTTAATTCCACATTTAGGGATACAGTAATGGTCAATAGTATCTGAAACAAGTAAATAGTTCGGCCTAATGTCACAAAGTTGGATCTTTGATTTTAATTATACGTAATTCCTTTAGCGTTTGTTCGACCTTTGTTTTATTTGTTCAACATGGCAAAGAACTCTGAGGATCAGAAATAAAATAACTGTTGCTCTACATAAAGATGGCCGACGCTATAAAAAGACCGCCAAGACCCTGAAACTGAGCTGCAGCACGCTGGCCAAGACCGTACAGCGGTTCAACAGGACAGGTTCCACGCAGAACAGGCCTCGCCATGGTGGACCATAGAAGCTGAGCGCACGTGCTCGGCGTCACGTCCAGAGGTTGTCTTTGGTAAACAAAGACCGCCGGCACTGGGGAGCTACAGCTCATTGAGGGAACCGTGAATGCCAACATGTGACATACTGAAGCAGAGCAGGATCCCCTCCCTTCTGAGACCGGGCCAGCGTTCCAACACGATAACGACCCCAAACACACCTCCGAGACGACCGCTGCCTCGCTAAAGAAGCTGAGGGTAAAGGTGACGGACTGACCTGAACCCTACTGAGCATCTGTGGGGCTGCTCCAACAGAAGGTGGAGGAGCTCAAGGTCTCTAACATCCAGCAGCTCCGTGATGTCGTCATGGAGGAGAGGAAGAGGACTCCAGAGCCAACCTGAAGCTCTGCTGAACTCCAGGCCCAGGAGGGTTAAAGCAGCGTTAAAGCAGCGAACCATCTCAAGGATGATCAGAAGAAATAGACAGCAGCTGAGTTAAATATGAGTGTCACGGCAAAGGGTCTGAATACTTATGACCATGTGATATTTCAGTTTTTCTTTTTTAATAAATTTGCAAAAATTTCTACATTTCTGTTTTTTTCCTGTCAAGATGGGGTGCTGAGTGTACATTACTGAGAAATAAAATGAACTTTTTTGATTTTTGGAAAATGGCTGCAATGAAACAAAGAGTGAAAAATTTAAAGGGGTCTGAATACTTTCCGTACCCACTGTATACAAGCTGTACACTCACTACTTTACATTATAGCAAAGAGTCATTTCTTCAGTGATGTCACATGAAAACATAATCAGATATTTACAACAATGTGAGGGTGTATTCACTTTTGTGAGATTGTATATTCTAGATTTTGTTGGTCTTTAAATGTGATTCGATTACAATAAGAAGACAAGACTTAATCATGTGACAAGTATTTAGGTAACATTTCTGAAATATGAATTTTTGGAACAAAATGCTCACACGGATGGACAACATTCAGAAGTTTCTATGGATCCTGTGATGCACTTTTCCAGCATCACAATTTACCGAAACGTCGGGACGGTTAATGCAGGAACCTCTGGGTCTGAAAAGTGAATCAACTTAAACCTGCATCCTCTCCAGCAGCCAGCAGGGGGCGACTCCAGCGGCTGCAGAAAGAAGTGTGATTGTATAGAAGTCTCTGAGAAAATGTTTCTACTGATTTATTCCCTCAGTAAACACTTTCCTGATGAGTTTCTGGTCTCAGTCGCTAGTTTCAAGTCTTCTTCAACACAGCATGATGTTCATTTAGTAAATTATGGTCCCATTTAGAGGAACAGAGACCAGGAAGCAGGGGAGGCTTTAGGGCGGGGCTACCTTCTGTCCTCATTGAAAGGTTGCCAAGATAGCGACCCGTTTGTTACAAGCCAAAATTTCACAGTTAATGTGAATTACAGAAGCACCTTGCTAATAACCAAGCTCGCTAAATCTACCCTCTTGTCCAAATATGGTCATGTCTGGTTCCAAAAAACCAAGATGGCCACAGCCAAAATGAAAAATACGAGGGTTGTGACGTCACGGCGGCCACGTCCACTCATTTTACTGTCTGTGGTTCTGTTGCCTTTTATCGTTTGTTACAACAGCTGTAAAGAAGACTCGTCAGGCCAGCTGGTCGTTGTTAACATTTATTGGTTTTGTTTGAACTGTAACACTAAAAAGTACCCGATCTCAATGACTAAAACAGGTCATAAAAATAAAAAACACTATCACCATCATCACATCATCATGGCAGACAGCTTTAACTTGGCGTAAGTGACATTCAGACCACGCTGCTGTGATCAACACGGGGCACAAAATTAACAGTGGATATTCGCTTTCACTGGTTTTAGATGTAAAAAGTTGGCAATTATTCACTCAAAACTGACAACGGTCAAAGGTCAAATCCATTTTCAGTGAATTCTCACATTTATTGAAAACGGAAATAAACTTTCCATTTTCTGACTGAAGTTTGAACTGTCCATCACTTAACTCCTTCAATTTTTCTAAATCTTATTAAAAAGGAAATGTTAAGATTTGGTTTTATTAGATTGCTGAGTTACAAAAAAAAAGGGCACATTTTTTTTTATCAAAAGTATTGCATCAAATCCAAAAAACTGAGATGAACTTTCTTTGACAAATGACAGCAAGTCACTTCATTGGGATTATACAGGGTCACGTTTCCCGATGCCATTTACAAACATACAATCTGCTTAAAAATGATTTAAATGGAAAATAATCACACTTTTAAAAATACTAAAGCATCCCTTTCATTCCCTCATTTGCATCGAACAATAAGATGACCTCGGATCGTTCCCTGAGGAACCCCTGCAGCAGAAACTCCAGCTCTTTCTCTTTGAGCTGACCGTGGAGGGTTTCACTAAGGAACCCGTTTGTAAGGTCCCTCCGGGCTCCCACACAAGCATGGTTAGCTTTTACTGCAGAGCTGACTCCCGTCTTTCACAGCGTAAAAAGGCTGAACTCAAACAAGGTTGTCTTCTCTCCGCACGGGAACCACACAACCACTTTTGAAAAAACACAACATAAAAATCACAGGAGTCGAGATGTGCTCCGATATGTACAAATGAATGTCGTCTGAATGCGTCTCAAATAATAACTTTCATGACCTTTTTACAACTACAAACTGACTGACTTTAAAAACGGTCAGAGAGAAATGCATCTGGTGGGATTCTTTATTATGAAGCACTTCATAAGCATTGATGGGAGGGTGGCGTGAGACATTTTCCGATTATTTAAGATAAAGTCTTAATTACGAGATAAGGATAGAGCAGTATCTCACAACTTGAAGATAAAGATTAGCGATGCATCGATCCGACTTTATCAGTCGATACCGGTACCTTGGCTTTGGGTATTGGCCGATGCCGAGTACCGATCCAATACCAGTGTAAAATTAATAAGCCGTCTGACTGAAAATATATCGCAAAGCATCATCAAAGTGTGCAGGAAAATTGCAGCCGCAAGTTTGAAGCCTGAAACACCTCCCTAGGGAGGCGCCTGGGGGAATCTTTACCAGATGCCCCAACCACCTCAACTGGCCCTTTCGACACAAACGAGCACCAGCTCTACGGTCATTTCTGACTGTAATGACTTGGCTTCTCACACACAGAATGCAGGACTAGGATCGGAATTTGAAGAAGGCCCATTGAAACCTGGCTGATCCTAGCCACCCAACGAGGTTCGGACTGTGAAGAAGGCCCATTCAAACCTGGCTGATCCTAGCCACCCAACGAGGTTCGGACTTTGAAGAAGGCCCATTCAAACCTGGCTGATCCTAGCCACCCAACGAGGTTCGGACTGTGAAGAAGGCCCACTGAAACCTGGCTGATCCTAGCCACCCAACGAGGTTCGGACTTGAAGAAGGCCCATTGAAACCTGGCTGATCCTAGCCACCCAACGAGGTTCGGACTTTGAAGAAGGCCCATTGAAACCTGGCTGATCCTAGCCACCCTACGAGGTTCAGACTTTAAAGAAGGCCCATTCAATTCTGGCTGATCCTAGCCACCCTACGAGGTTCAGACTTTAAAGAAGGCCCATTCAATTCTAGCTGATCCTAGCCACCCTACAAGGTTTGGAATGTGAAGGCGGCCCATTCAGTCCTGGTTGATCCTAAACACCCTCTTCGGGCTGTAGATAGAGGACGTCAACATGCAGGACAAACAGATTTAGAAATTCATTTGTCCCAGCTGCTATTGGGCTTTTAAATAATTCACTGTAATTCCATTCTATTGTTTTAAAGTTTTACTTCAACTGTGGTCTTCTAACATATATTTCCTTTTGCCTATTTTAACATTGCTTGTTTGTTAGTTGTGACTGTTGACAGTTTTGTGTTGACTGCTGTCTGTACACCAGATTTGCCCCTCAGGGACAATAAAGATATCCTTGATCATTATTTTATGTGTAAGCCAACATCAGGCTCGTCTTAAACATTGCTTCCTAACGTTGTAAAATAAAATGCTGTTAGCTCTCCAATCAAAATGTTCAGGTCTACCGGCGCATCGGGCCCCTTTTCACCGACACCCGATCCAGCTATCTGAGTCAGCATCTGCCGTTATCCAATGTCAATATCGGATCGGAGCATCTCTAATTTCCAAAGAAAATCTCATAATGATGATTTTAGCATTGCTTAAATACAAGCAAAGATCTCCTACTTACAAGATCTGTATCACAGAATTAGATATAAAAACGTCATCTTACACCCACGTAATCTTCAGAATACAAAGCTTAAACACATTATATTGGATTAGTTTTCATTTACCGGGTCCCTGTATTGTGCTGTGAATAAAACATTTCAGTTTCATTTCTACGCCTGGTTTTTGGTCTCAAACTCACATTTGTCTTCATACTTAACTTTCCCTTTTTGTGTTTTGCCCGACCAGAAACATTTCTCTCTTCTATGGCTTTGTAAACAAAGACAGAAGGAGCACTGATGGGCTAACAGGTCACATGATGCTGCTGCCGTCAGGAGGAAACCTGTCTCTAATATTCACCTTTCTATTCTGTGTGCGTCAGGCAGCAAGAGAGGTTAATGAAGATTAAGGTTTCCAAGGTTAAGTTATTCATTATAAATTATAATCTTAAAGGATAAATTCCGTATTCAGTATTTTTAAACCTGGGCCATGTGTCCACATATTGTTGGTGTTGAAATGACTCGTAGGTGTTTTTAAATCTGTGCAGTAGATGCTGTTTTTAAATCTGTGCAGTAGATGCCGTTTTTAAACAGGAAACTGAAGCGAGACTTCAGTTTCCTGTTTAAAAACAAAGGGGGTCACCCGGAGTCCCTCGTAGAGATCCTTTCCATGATGTTGTCAGACTCCTGGTGTCACAGCCTGAGCCTGTCGCTGGCAACAAGAAGCTCATTCTGTGGACGCCATTTTGACAAAGGAATACGCTGGAGCATCTACTGCACAGATTCAAAAACCTTTTGTATCTATGAGTCATTTCAACACCAACATCTGTGCAAAAAAGGGGCCCAGGATTAAAAATATTGAAATGAACCTTTAACGGACTCCCATCTTCAAACCTGAGAAGCTTATACATTTGCAGTTTTGTGGTTTCTACCAGACAGCATCAGCCGCCGTGTAACAAAAAGCTGAGACGCATCCAACATGAGACAGAACAACAAATAAAACAAATGCACGTTACGGTAGTATCAACGGCCCACGTCTACTGAGGTAACAATGTTTGTGTGGAAAGAGGGGGAAAAAATTTAAAAACTTGAAATGTTTTACAAGGAAAATGAGGTATGTGAACATGCGTGGAGGCTGAAAGTGCAATGAACCAGACAAAGACGCTCGGCGTTTGCAGAAAAGTGGTTGGGTAATTCAGATGTTAGCGAAGCAGACGAGAAGCTTTAGTTATTTAAGCAGTGTTCAGAGGCAGAAATTAAATTGTAAATTATTATATTATCAAATTAAAGTATGATTTCATGATCCACCCAAATCAAATCCAAGTTTTTCATTGCTGATATCTTCTAGCGGTGGTCTGGGTTTGGTTCAACGTCATCTTGTTATTCTGTTTTTTGCTGATGAACGTTCGCCAGCAGCTGTGAACAGGCTTCTTCTATTATTCTACAACAAATCAAACTCCAGCCGCTCGGCAGAGCTTTGGCTTCATATTGCTTAAAACGTTTTGTTCAAAACACATAAAAACAGAATTAAAGTCTCACTAGAAAAAATTTTCAGTTTGCACATTTACAAAAGAATAAAAAATGATGGCTTGTTTGCGCTGAAGCGTCGCGGATCAGGATGCATCACTGATGCATTGATCCGTTATCCGATCCATCCCTCTATCTCATCCTGTTGTACGAATGCTACAGAAGATAAAGCATGTTTTGTACAGAGACTCTCAGCACAAACAGATGAAATTAAAACGCTGCGTCAACAGAGTCTGGTAGTTGTTGGGAGATTCTCCATCCATTGGTCTCTCCAATTAAATGACTAATTTATCATCACTCACGCTGGACCACTTGAATTTCACAGTTATATTTTGGTTTTTAACGAACATACGTGGAGACGTTGGGGTTATATCTTTGACGTCACTTTAACACATTTTACTGGATGGTAAAGTGTAAAAAACATTCTTAAAATTTTGACTGAGAATTTTTGTCTTTTGAGAGCGTGACTTTGTTCTTCTAGGGCAGTAATTCACATGTTTTGAAGAAATCATTCGTTAAATCATTTCAGGGTTTGATTTAATAAACAAAACGTACTGGAGGACATTCAATAATAATGAAGTCGAGTTGCGGAAACCAAGCCAAGTCCGATTTCCATCCACTGCCCTTTTTGTGTATCTGTTTACATGTCAGGTTCAGGTCTCTCCACGGGTCTGTTTCAGATCATGTCCAAACCTTTAGACCAGTACAGACCTCTAACAACAGGCCCTGAACGCTGCTGCACCAAATGAGTCTTCAGCGTTTGTTAACATTTTATGTATTTGTTGATTACTTTCTTAAATTACTTCATTTCCATTATTCGCTGCTTTTCCCTGTTTTGTACGTACAGCACGCTTAAAGCGCTTATAAAAGATCCGTTCCATAGACATTCGTCATTTCTTTGTCTCATTTATATCTGCTGGATATATGGAAGCTCATTTCTGCTACATAAAAATACAATTGTTTCCTTTATTCCAAAACAATCTGAATTAATTATTTTAATTTCTCGTAATTTTTACAAAAAAAACGATGAAATTGTTTTTCCTCACCACAAATAAAAGATTTGGATTAAGTGTCGCGTTATTATGACTTAAAACAAGTGTTTAATATTTGTGTCCCTTTCTCACATTTTATTTCTTCTTCTGGCAGTAATGAGCTTCCGTACAGATCATCAAGAAGCCAGAGAAAATAAACACCAACAATGATTTTCAGCAAAAATAAACGCATGTAGTCTCGTTTATGTAGGTGAGGTATTTGTGTGTTAACATGAGGTGATGAACCGATCTGGGCTGAAGAACGAGGGGGAGGATGAAGCAAAGACAGAAGGAACCGTCGCAGATTTAAAAACCTCTCTCATTTCATCATACATCATCAGTTCTGTCTGAAAAGTAGAAACTGTACAACAAAAGGATAGAAACGGCCTGGATTCACATTCAACGAGTCCAAACAATCGACGCCACTGATTAAGTCCGTCTTCCGTTGTTTTGTTTTTTTTCTTTCAACGAGTAGCGACACAAGGATCTTCCGCAAAGGGCGTCCAAAAATTTAAAATACAACGACAAGAAAAAAAAAACTTAACCTTGGAAACCTTTTTTAAAAAGGAGAAACGTCTTTTAGTTTGTTGAGGAAAAACAATAAAAGAGCACTTTAAAAACAAACGGGTAGAAAAAAATCAGAAGGTCACGTCTCCCTGTGACAGTGACTGTCAACGCTGTACAGGTCCAACACGAAAAAACACGATGGGAAGGGGGGCAGGAAACAGGAAACAGGAAACGAAGCTCCGACTGTCCGGCTGCCGAGGAAGACGAGCTTATTGCAAAATCACCTGCCGGGACTGAAATTCACCTGCAGCCTCTGGAGCTCGTTTCCTGGTTTGTAGAAGTTTTACAGAAGAAGAAGGTGGATGTTCTGAACATCAGCTGGGTTCACTTTGATTCCCGTCTGTCCCCCCCAGATTACACGTCTGTCTGAAGTTCCTGTTCCAGATCCGCTCAGAGGGGTTAATCTGGTCCAGAGTTTGCATGCAATAAAACATCTGCTGATTTCAAATCCTCACGAATCCCTTATTTTAAAAATCCATTCTAGTTTCAGCTTTCAACATTTGTACGTTTTCAAACTTCACAGTTAAAATTCGGGGGGGGGGGGGTCATTTGTTTGGTTATTTTCTAATAGTTTAAACTTTGTGGGCTTTGATCAGAAATCTCTGATCGTGGAGAAACCCGGGGTGAGATCTGTGTTTTAAAGTTTTTATGTACTTTTTAAAAACAAGAAGCTGAGATAAAAGATTCAAAAAGAGATTCGTCTGAACTGAATGAATGCCGACCGTGAACCAGATCCAAAACAGAACCAGCTATCAGACCTGAACTCCATCTGGCCTTGGGCGCCAATCTACCGTGTGACCTCCAGAGACGCTCCGATTGGTTCTGATGACGAGGGACAGACCGATTTTAGACTTTAGCTGACGAGCGAACACATTATCAAACAGGTTTGCTGGGTTTAACTTCATATCACGTCTTATATTTAGAAACTTTATAAATATCTGAAGTGTTTTTACTGCTGAGTTTTTTGTTTCAGTTCATGTGTCTGAGTTAATTTATCAGTGAAATCAGAGAAAAGCTCCGTCACTCTCTGCTGTTTGTGTTTTTGTATATCTCAGTAAACGAAATGATTATTTGATCAATGAATGAACAGATCGATTGATAAAGAAAATGAGTCGCAACCCTGACAGAAAGTCCTGTACTGACCCAGCTGGACTACCTGGAGCCAACTTCCTGTTGTATTTCAGAATAAAAGGGTCTAAAATCGCCGTTTGGTTTCTGCTTCGTCTGTTGAAGGTTGAAACTTTTCAGCTAAATGGTTTCAGGGAACAGCTACTGGACGCAGATCCGGATGCGTTTCCCTTTCATGGTTTCTGGTCTCAGGTGTGTGAATCCTCCTCTGGTTCTGCTCTAAAGGTCTGGACCCGGTCTTGTTTGTGTTGGACCCTGTTTCTGTTTCCACGTTAGCCCAGGCGACTCGCTCGGTCCCGCCGGGTTCAGGACCGGTTCCCGGGGTGCTGGGTCCGGATGTGGCTGCTGAGGCGGGCCACCGTGGAGAACTTCCTCCCGCACTCCGAACAGCGTGGCGGCGAATCCGAGGGGGTCCCTTCAGGTGGAGAGAACGCGGACGACGTGTCGGCGGCGGCGTTCTCTGCGACGTGAGTCTGACGGTGAGCCTTCAGGAGAGACATCCGGCTGAACCTCCGACCGCACTCCTCGCACTCCGACCACACCCGCCTCCTCTTCTTCTGCAGACACAGACAGGAAACAGGAGGAAGTGCTCAGATAAAGTATTAATACCACAGCGAACAAATACTGATACAGTCGTTCAAAGTATTACTCGGGTATTAAAGGATTCCGTGTGAGCGAGACCGCCACGCCCTCCCTCACCTTCCTCCCTTTGTCCTCCCCCTCTTCCTCTTCTTCCTCCTCCTCTTCCTCCTCTTCCCTGGTTGTCAGGGGCGACGTGCAGGTCTGGCCGGGCGGTTCGACGCCATCTGTCGCCAGAGCGGCCAGCGTTTCGTTGGCGGCGGCGTCCTCTTCATCCAGCAGCTGAGACGGCAGAGTCAGGAGACGGTGGAGCATCGAGGCTGACGAGCGGCGACCTGAGGACCCTGAAGACAGAGACCCGTTACTGCAGTTAAAGTACTAATACGACATCAGTACAAGTAAAAGTCCTGCATTCAAAACGTTGCTCCGTTTTGTTTGACCTGAATCAGTCGCTGTATCGCTCGTTACAACCACCAGACGACCGTTAATAACTGAGGGAAAAAAGCTCCTAGATGAAAGAGTGAAATTTACAAGAAGAAAAATCGGAAAATCCCTGAAATTAATGTCATAAAAAAATCGAATATCCCTCTGGTGTGTTTTTTCTCTGAGGTGCAGGATAATGACTGTGGGCCGAACTCACGAGTGTTTCCTCACTGCTGAATCCGACTGCAAAGTTTAATCTAACTTTCCCCTGCATGCATAATACACGGCAGACGTGTGTGTGTGATGTTGCAGCCTTGCAGAGAGAAGTTTCTCTCATGAATGTGAGACTCTAATGAGAATATTCAAGTTTTTTACTTGTAGACTTATCTGGTCGTGTTTTTGTTTTTTTATAAGAGCGCTGAGGGAAACTTGATGTGATAAAATGACCTTACAGAGAAGCAGGGCGAGTTAACTTTCGCTCTGGTTTGTCTGACTCACTAACAGCTTGGAAACTGAAGCTCTCAGTGTAAAAACATGTGCAGCTGTATCTTTACATCATACATCATTTTTCACAGGCGTTATGGCGAATTTTGCATGCACCTGCGTACAAATTCTGCTTTTAAACGCTAAAATATTTTGTGAGAATTTGAACACCTGAGCTACAAAACGTCACCACGGGAAGACCTTGTGGGAGCGCGGCGGCGGCGGCGGCGGTCTTTTCTCTTGCTGCACGAAGTTGGAACCTCCGTTCTAAGCTTACAGTAAGCTCACGCAGTCTACCGGAGGTCTTTATTCCCCGCAGCTCACGTTAAGACTATCAAGTCGGCGAACGTCAGCCGCAGTCACCTCAGTAGCTCGACGCTGACAAACATTTTCCGAATTTATCATGTAATATTAACTTTAATATGACAAGTTAAAACTCACAGCTGCAGAAGAAGCTCTTGTTAAGTGACCTCTCTGGAAGTGTCCTCCTTTACTGTACCAGAAAATAAACTATGCTAAACATGAGAATAATCAAGATTAACACGACACACAGATGCGGCACGGTGGTGCAGCGGTTAGCACCGTCACCTCACAGCGAGGAGGATCCGTGGATCGAGGCCCGGGCCTTTCTGTGTGGAGTCTGTCCAGAGACATGCACAGGTTAACCGCCGACTCTTTGCCCTTCGGTGTGAACGTGTGAATCTGGGCGACCTGTCCAGGGTTCACCAGTGACAGCTGGGATTGGCTGCAGCCCCTTCGTGACCCTGCAGAGTTCACTATAGTGCTAACCCATAAATATTATTCTCATTACATAGTATTTAAACCAAATAATAACACCAATCAGAATATGAAAAACAACAGTTAAAGCATATAAAAAGTTAGAACAATACTTACTCAAGGATTAATTTACTTTGGTAGAGAAATTTTGAATTAAATAACATTTTATAGCAATGAAAGTAAATATAAAAACATTGAGCTGCCAGTAAATATTAATATATGTGAATGAAACTTCTCACAGTTACTATGCTTCACAGAATGATGATGTGAAGACGCTCAGCTGCAGATGTTGTCTTCATATCTCTGAACGCATCGTCCAGTGGAGGGCAGTGACGAGTCTCCCCGTGTGAAACCTTCAACACTTTATTTTATACAGTTATAAAAACACACTTTAACTACATTGTTGGCTTTTTATACACTTTTAGATTTATTTATTGTATATATTTTTATGTTTCTCCAGGACTGGTATCTGTAGCCTTCTTTTTTTAATAATATGTCTGTAATTTTATTTTTTCCAAAGATCTTTTATGATTTTTACTGTCATATTTATTTTTTTATATATTTGATGTTTCAAGATATATTTATCTGTATAAATCTGAATTTTCCATCACATTTATATTTTTATAAATAACAATATTTACTCTAGTTTATTAGAGATAGATATATATAAATCTTATTGTTTCTATATTTTTTTTGTTTTTCTTTCTCTGAGATTCGGTGTTTCAGACTGAATTCCCGCCTCCTCCTCGTCTCAGGTGTGAAGTGTTCAGTGAGCGGGGCCCCTCTCTCACCTGTGGGGCTGGCGGGCGGTCCAGGTGAGGGTCCAGGTGAGGGCCAGGTGAGGGCCCGGTGGCGGTGGTGGCGGCTCCTCGCCTGCTGTTCCTCTGACTGTCTTCGTCATCCGGGGAAAACACCTCCATGTCCTCCAGAGGAGTCCAGCGGGGGTCCAGCTGGGGGGAGGAGGGGGAGGGCTCCAGGGTCAGAGAGGGGGCGGGGATAGGCTGCACCTGCTGCGCCCCGCCGTCACTCAGACTCCGCCCACCTCCTCCTCCGAGCTCTTTAATCTGCCAGACGTCGCTGCACCACTTCTGACCAAAGACTTTGTCCAGGATGGGAACCCAGTCCTGAGAGACCGAGAGGACGGGCGGGCGCTCCGGGTCTGAGGGGAGAAACAATTTGTAAGCATGTTTTTGGATCTGTTTCACCTCTGACCGCAGTGATGTCACAGCGTCCTGAGGTACACCTGTGCATCACTGCGGCCAGGTGGGCGTGTCTGCGGCTCTGCACTCACCGCCTCGCTCCGCCGTCTCTTTGGACGCCGGGACCTCGGCGAGCTCCTCCCGGGCGTCCTCCGAGCCGCTGGGTGACACCGAGTCGTTCTCCGACCCCCTCCTCCTCCCCCCGGCTCCGCCTCCTCTCCCCTTCTCCCCCCCCTCGGTCGGAGCTCCGGTCCAGCCGCTCCTCCAGGACCCGCTGCTCTCGCTCCATCTTGGTGATCTCCAGCAGGAGGTCGTCGAACGAAGCCTCCACGATCTTCGTCAGCTCGCGCACAGCAAAGTCCAGGACCTGCTCCATGACGGACTTCAGCTGGTCTGCAGGGGAGACAGGAGAGACCGCCGCCGCCATCATCATCATCAGCTGTAATTTGTCTAAACAATAAAACTGTCTGCTGGTTTAGAGATTTACGTCACTGTCCGTCAGCCCTGAACGCAGCACAGTCATCGCACGTGTCTGACCCTGAACAGGCGTTACCCGCCACACGATCGATCCATCGTGGCGTGCGTCAGGATCAAATCAAGCTTTTAATGCAAATCTGAAACACATGAAGTCCTGAACGCAGACTCGCTGTTTCTTCAGATTTAATGTACTTTAATTAATTTCACGCAGCTGATCACAGAACGGGCTTCACGCAAAGACCTCAGACAGCGTGATTAAAAAAGGTTTGTGGCGAGGAGACTTTTCAGCCGCTCTGAAATCTGGTCGTGTTTTTGGTTTTTTTATAAGAGCGCTGAGGGAAACTTGATGTGATAAAATGACCTTACAGAGAAGCAGGGCGAGTTAACTTCCGCTCTGGTTTGTTTGATTCACTAACAGCTTGGAAACCGAAGCTCTCAGTGTAAAAACTCTCCACGTTGTTGTGCTGCTGTGCGTCCGTTCGCTCACTGCTCCTGAGTTTAGTCACATCTTAACGACACATTTTGTTCATTTAAAAATCCGGCAGTCATTATGTCAGCAGTTGGGCTCATACAGTTAATAATTAGAAAACAGCTTTGACGTTAATGCACATTTGAGATATATATATATATATATATAATTATCTAATGTTAAAGCTTGGTGAAATGTTTCAGTACATCTTAGCCCAGCGATAATTTTGGTCTCTTTAATCGTACTTACCGGGAAATACTCAAATATTATTCATGGAGGGAGGGAGGTTATAAGTTAAGGGGGGAACAAACAGGACACGGACATCCAGGAAAGGTTTTTGCATTTCAATCTGTGGAGTGAAAGTAAGAAACAGTGTCAGTGTGGAAACATAAATCTGTTTAAAACTGGGTGTTTTGTTTTCACGAGTTACAGGGAAACGATCAGTGAGCGTTTATTTTCAGCGCCGTTGTTGATGTTGTTATTTCATTCATTCCTCATAGATGTGCTGCTTTTTTCCTTCTCTATGTAAATAACTGAGGTGCAGGTTTAAATCGCTTTTGCGCCCGGGCCTGCGCCGTACTGGGTTTCCTTTTTGACCCCCCCGGTCGACACGGTATAATTCGCACCCTGGTTAGATTATTTATAAGCATTTGATTTGTGTCAGAATAAATATGTTTTCCCACTCCTATTCGAATATGTAAAGAAACTGAGTTTCAAAGATTTCTTTTGCTGTAATATAATAAATGCATTTTGTTATTTAAACATTTTGATTGGTTTTAATTACTATTCTGTCTGACATATTTCAAAATAAACATATAAAGTTTATAAACCCGGAGACAAACTGTAAAATGGGACGATGATTTTAATGGGAAAAAATATTCTGTGTTTTACAAGCAAATGTTTTAGAAAAGACCAAAGATCATTATTTTGTGTAGAGTTTTGGTTCTGGAGCCCAGAGCCTCACCAGGACACGAAACTCGAAGCTGCAATACAAAATGCATTTGAAAGACAAGATTATGTATTATTAGCACAACTGAATAAACATGTGCATTAAAGCATCTTAGTGGATTTTCTCCACTAAATTAGAAGATTTAGAGACATTAACGGTTCACAAATTAAACAAATTATGATACTAGCAATGGAAAAAGTTAGCAGCACACAATCTAAACAGGCAGCCTATTCATTTATTTGAAAATATGTATTTTTGTGGGGGTGGTATTTAATTTTATTTTAATATAGGAGTGGTGCATGTATGAAAAAAAGATTTCAAAACTTTATGTGTTTATTTTTTTACCCCTAACACTAAAAGCAGTATACCAGCATATTATAAAAACAATCTTCATAGTAAACATTACTTATATTAGAGCAGTAGACTCTGCGAGGTGGACGAGTGCTGAGATGGTAAATGCCAATTATAATACACCATTTATAAGAAATCATTCATCATTTTCTTTCCCTTCTCAGCTTATTTTCCGACATTCATACATCATAGTGGCTGATTCAGCCAACATTAATATCTGTGAACACTCAATTCTTCCTGGATATGTTCACTCTAATTACATAATTACTTTATTAAGTTCATATCACATCATCATCAGAGTCCCTGTGTGTGAGAACCGTTTGAAAAAACATTCACTAACTAACAAACTATCTAGTAACTGATGCCAACATCAGCAGCAAAAGCTGTTAATGAAGTTCCAAAATTTAACAATGCACAACTTTCTCAATCAAACCTGGAGCCGTTTACAAGAAAGGTTGAACTGAGAGCAACTGGACTTCTTCTGAAACGTCCAGCTGCTCCCGATTCAGCTTTTCTTGGATAACCATGACCTGGATGAATCTTTACAGATGTGTAGGTTTGTCTAACGCTGGAGTTCACTGGAGCCTGAAGATGATCTGCAGTGATGTTTTTAATAAACCAAACATAAACACAGTCATGTGTTCTTTCTTTGTGGGAAACATTCGTCATTAAAATCAGTTAACCCTGGTGCCACGGGATTACTAAAAGGTAAATCTGATCTGAATTTTAAAACGTGTTTTCAAGAGGAACACTTTCCAACGTAAGGTTGGCCAAAAAAATGTGAACAAGGTAGGTGATTGTAGCTGTTAAAAAAAATAGCAATGTAACTACATACACGTGTCACTGAGCTGTGCACATATTGTAGATCAACGCATTTATTGGATAAATTACCAAAAATCACTTAAAATCACAGTTTTTTCGTTTCTCACGCTCATTTTCAATTCAATTTCAACGCCCAGGACTTCCGGGAACTATCTGCAGCCTCCTGCTGCGCTTTAATGTGTCTACTCTTGCCTAGTTTTTTATATTAATGTCTAAACAGATAAATGTCTATAGCTGTAAAAATAAAACATGAACAACCCTATAATGGTTCTGAGGTCATATTTACAGGGTTTTAGGGGGTGATGCCCAAAACACGCTGTGCCGTCAATGTAAAAATCACTGTGGAGCATCAGAACCAACCAAAGTAATTTCACCTAATCTAAAGGTTGTACTTCCTCCCCAGTAGACTGATCTTTTTTCAGAGATATGGTGAAAATAACGGCCCAATGTGATGTGAAATCACATATTTGTCATTGGAAAACGTCAAATTTTCTTGTGGGAAGACCCTCAAACCCCCCGGACCGTGACCACCACCCAAACATTCATCTGACACTGAAGTGTTAAGCTATTCTAACCATGGACACAAGAGCAACCATACTACGCACAAAAAAACCAAACCGTGCTTCAGCTCTGCGGCTACAGCTCAGTAAGGCAAACACTGCAGATTTCAAACAAACAAACTGCTGCTCTTCAGTGTTTGACTCATCTGTGAGAGAAAATGGAATAAAAGGAAAAAGGGTTGGATCAAAGACTCTGATCGCGTGAGTGCTGAGCTGCAACAATCGATTAAATTAAACACCAACCATTTTGATAGTCGATGAATCACTTTGAGTTTTAAAATAAGCTTCTTAAATGTGAATATTTTCTGGCTTTACGACAGTAAAAGTATCTTTGGATTTAGGACAAAACGACGACGTTTGGGAAACACCGATTGGCATTTATGATCATTTTCCAACGTGAAAAACCGATCACTGATCATCCCTTCAATCAGCGATCCAATCGGAACAACCCTACCAGTTCCCCTCCAGCGCTCGGCCGGCGTGAGCAGCTGATGCAACTTCACATAAAAGTTATTTAACGTCCGGCCTTTATTGTGAAGTGTCCCTGTGGTGGGTTTAAAGCTGCAGGATCAGCTGCTCCTCGCCACACAGACGGGAAATGAAGCGACGCGTTAATATGACATCACTCCATCCATCCCCTGAAAAACCTGAACGTGTCCAATCACCAGCAGAGGAAACCGCATTTAAGAACAGTTCTGAGCTTCTTGAGCTACATCTCGTATTGTGTCCCGTCTCAAAACAAACCTTTTCAAATAAAACCTCAGCTCCAGCTAAACGAAGACCGGCGCCGAGCAGCGTTACATATCTGGCCTATTCAGTTCTTCGGTTCATTCCCAGTTGGATGTTATTTGTACATAAAGCTCCGTCACAGAGAAAACTGAAACCGGTGCATCTCTAGTACAGAACCAGAGATATAATAAGTGAAGTGTGGGTTTTGAATCAGTTACTTTTTCACTGTACGGAGCGAGTGATTGGATGATCTAGATAAAAGCCGGTCTCTGTCGGTCTCCTCGCGGCTCTACGGGGGTTCATTTAATGATTTACACTAACAGAACCTCCTCCTCTTCGTCCTTTGTCTCCACAGTGAGCAGACGAGGGAAGGGCCCCCTTACAAAGCGACCTCTGACCCGAGCGTGTCGGGGCCGCGGCCTCATTAGCTCCCTGCACGTTCTTCCGGCTTTCTGAAGACGCTCTGCCGGCGTGACCCCCACCTTCATGGCTCCTGCAGGAAGCAAAGCGAGCTAGTTAGCAGCAAAGACGCTAACACACAGCTGATTACAGCCGGGAGCAGCTATTAAATTAATCGCCAACTATCATAATATATCATCGATTAATGGGTTTAAATAGTGAGCGTCTTCCTTTGTCACCTTTGAGGACGTCCTCTCGAATACTGAATACTCAGGAGCAGGAGAGGCAGTAAATCTGCAGCAGTAGACCCTCTCTGAGCTCTCTTGGTGCAAAGCCTAAGAATAAATCACTTCCCTGGGAAACAGCGGGACGAGCGAGTCGGCAGCAGCAAAGTAATCTTTCCATCCGGCCACTTAAGGCTGACAGGCTCAGATTGTTATTAGTGTCTGAGAGCATTATTGAAAGGATCCTTACAGTGAGAGACCTTTCATTAAAGAGCAAGATCCTGTTTGTTCAACCTGAAACAGTCGCCGTTATCGCTCTCGTCAAAGCCACCAGACTCCATTGACAAATACGGTAATTTTACTTTGCAGAGTACGGGAGTTGCTGGTCAACCGCAGCCTTGGTAAGTTTGTAT